AATCAGTTAACAAGCAGACGTTTTGCTTTATTAGTGAGATAATAGCAGAGGCTGTACACTGCACCTTTGGTTGCCTGTTTGTCCATAGGATACGGATTTTTTCTTTCAAATAACAGCAAATGTATGTAAAACAATAATTTTTGTGGATTTAAATGCAGAAAAAATAGTGTCATTTGGCAGTCACACATTTTAAAGAACAAATGACTATTTGTCTGATGTAGACATTATCTACAATTTTGGACTGTAAATAACAGTCAATTTTTTCAAAAAACTTCAAAAGAAATATTTTTATTTTATTTTATTTTATTTTTTTACAATTTATCTGTTCATCACTGGTTTTCCCTATTTTTCTTTTATATATGAATTCATTGTGTTTTTTCACAGGACATTTTAAAAAAGAAATAAATAAAAATCTATCAAATATAAAAGACTTTTATCTTTTACATTTTAAATTTTTTACATGATTTTTTAATGTGCTGGACAGACTCCCTAAAAGGAGGCTCAGAGATTCATTCTTGAAAAGCTGCTTTAAAAATGTGTTGAATGTGACGCTAAAAAAATAAAAATAAAAAATGTGTTGAATGTGAAAGAAAGCAAATTATTCTAGATCAATATTATGATTTGAATTTAAAGAATTCTCAGGCCAATTCCTGGTTGACTTATGATTCAGACTACATGGTTCTACTCATGCTACAACAGGAACATGTTGGTTTGCTTCTCTGACGGTTACACTGGCCTTCACATCAAACACAAAAAACACACAGGGATTTGAAAGGCTGGCTGTTTTTATAGGATATAGCAGGGGTTTTCTTTGTTTGTTTTTTTTTACAGATTGGACTGTCATACCATGTCAGTGAATATTCCTGAGGTGAACCAAGCACAGGATTTCTGGAGAATTTATAGCTTCCTGTTGAACTTGGGTAAAGTCGATGGAAAGCCTTTACACATTTAAAATAATGAAGGTTTCCCGAAAAACACATTGATGCTACAGAAAAGGTCAGTGAATATCTGAAGTCTTTAAGCCTCAGTTGCTGGGGATTGTGAAAGTCTGTGCAAAATTTCTTGTCAATCCATACCATGCTTGTTGACATACTGCGATCAATCCACCTGACCCATGACGAAAACAGTGTTTCTTCTTTTCTTCAGTTTAAAAGTACACCAAAGAATAACTCCGCTTGTGGCTTGTTCACAACAGTGCCTATTTTGACTGTGAGTCTTGGCAGTTTTTCTCTCGACTTTCTACAACAGGATTTGGTAAACACAACAATGAACAAGCCCACGGATCATTTGTACAAGCAGCTTATTATGACCCAGAGCTAATATTCATTATGGCAGCACCCTCTAGAGGCTAGAATATCTATGATGGCAGCAAAGGAAGAAGTGATGCAATTACAGAACCACAGATTTAGTGTGGGGTGGAAGCTGAGGTTGATGGATGGATCGACAACACATTAGACTTGGAGTTTCTGGGGTGCTCTGGTGGCCAAATGGTTATAGCAACAGCCAAATTTTAGTGCCGAAAGCAAACCACACACAGATTAAAAAATGTCTCTACTCTATTAAACATAATGGGATGCATTCAGATTGTAGGGTCAAATGACTTGCACAACACTTCTTGAAGCCTTTCAGACTAATTTTAGCTTGACATAAATCATTTCAAACACTTGTCTCAGACTCTATGTACAACAAAATGCTGAAAATTTTCCCCCATATTAGCTTGTGTACCGAACTCCATTGGACTTTTTTTGTGGGGAGAGTCAGCAAACCATACTAGCATCGTAGAGTCTGTGTTTTCCAAATTTGTACACTGGAAGTGAAGTGTGAAAAGATTTCTTTTTATTAATTCATTCGTAGCGGCTGCAAGGTGGCGCAGTTGGTAGCACTGTTGCCTCGCAGCAAGAAGGTTGCCGGTTCGCGTCCCGGTGGGGGCACCGGAATCTTTCTGTGTGGAGTTTGCATGCTGCCCGTGCAGCGTGGGTTCTCTCCGGGTTCTCCGGCTTCCTCCCACACAGTCCAAAAACATGTTGAGGTTAATTGGTGATTGTAAATTGTCGTTGTCTGTCTCTAAGTGTAGCCCTGTGATAGACTAGCATGCCCTGCCTTTGCCCTTAGTCAGCTGGAATAGACTCCAGCCCCCAGTGACCCTAGTGAGGATTAAGCAATGTATAGATGATGGATGGATGGATGTTTCATGACTAATGGTCTTTTTTATTTGAGGCTGCTGTCCGTTTGACTTTGATTTAGTTTAGTTTTCAGACTGGCATTTCTCCTACTCAAAGAGGACAATGAAAATTTGTAAAAACAAATGCACACGCTGAGGGAAAATTTAATTGGTTTTGTTATTGAATGATTTTATTTTGATATTGGCAGCAGCAGACTTCCATACAGAGATCAAACACTCTTATAGTTAAATATTTAAAGACTTTTCAGATTTTCACTCCATAAGACTTTATTATTCATCAAAGAACCCACAATTAACATGTAATTTATATGTTCAGTACTGATTTAAAAAGCAGTCTTTAAAAATACTATTTTGGTTATTATTGGGAATTTAACATACTTGTGTTTTTAATTAAATTTTATTTTAATTTTTTTTAAACAGCAAATTGATGTTTCAGCCAAGATGAGCAGCACAATAAACAACACGACCTTGATTTTTACGGTGTTTCTGCTGGTTCTGAAAACGTTTTTACATTTGTAAAGCCCAGTGTGACAAAAGGAGCTGCAGAGAGTCCACATCAGTCTAACATAAAGGCCCTGATAAGCTGCTCATCACTTAAACATTCACATTAAAGAAATAAGATCAACACAAATAATAAATAAAAATAGATAATAGAAAAGTGAACATTCCTGAGGAGTTTTCAGCTGGACAAACCCATCTCCAAGGCGTTTGACTGTTGCTTGTGTTCTAATTTGCAGTGAATAAACTGTTTCATGTCTGTATTGTTGGTAGACATACAGACATGTAAATTTTTGTTTGCAGAGAAATTTAACTCAAGTAAATTTTCGTAGATTTTGCAGTGATCGTATGTGCAGCAGATGTTCTGGTGGTTCGATATGTTCTCATCAGTCTCTTACTTTCATAAAGGGAAACGTCTACAATCCATGACTGGACTAAAACTGTTGATGCATTAATGTGTTCATCACTTAAACTGCACTTATGTGATGTACTTTCACATAAACTCTCATTTAGCATCTATATACCAACAACATAGTAAAATGAGTGAAATTCAGATTTGGCTTTGGGTTTTTGTGTTCTACCCCAAGACTTCCTATGCCCCCATCTTGTCACCCCTATGAAAGATTTCTTTAAAGGAATACACTGAGTAGCAGAAAGATGAAACCTGGAGTGAGCTGACAGGATTTCTGATGTCTTCCTGCTGAATAAAGAGCAGTCAGTGCTGAGCTGTTCATCAGAGGAGGTCTTGTCCTCGGCACTCCTCCTTCCGGGACATTTCTGGTTTGTTGCACCTGTTTCTCCTCTCCTTGGTTCTGTAGCGAGTTCTCACCAACACCTGGTCAACCAGGTGCAGCTCCTCCAGTGCTCGCACCGCAATGCCAGCTTCAGCCACCGCCTCCTCATCATGGTACAGCCACTGCAGGCTGACCGTGAGGTCATCGAGAGGCTGCTGCCGTGCCACCGTTTTCTGACGGGTCTCCGAGAGTGTGAATGCCTCCCGGGCATAAAACTGTTGGATGATGGACAGCATGGCGTGGTACTGCTTCACGCTGGACCGGTCGCTCCTCAAGAAGGCCTTCAGTTTGCATCCTGTCCTCACCTTGTGGACCAGCTGGTGGACCAGTGTCCCCTGATACAACCTGAACAACATCATGAAGACAACATGGAGATTTTCAGCCCTGCAGGAGCCTTAAAATCCTTTTATTCTTCCAAACAGGGAAACACTATTTATTACAGCCTACAAAATGTTCTGTGTCATATGTGGACTTTAACTCTGAATTCCTGCAGCAGTTTCTGGGTGTTTTTTTTTCTTCTGTCTCATTTTTTCTCTCTGCGGGCTCATGTTCACCACAATATAAAATCCCGCATCTCTACAGAAATGGCACAACCAGAAATGTAATGTAATATTTATAGCATGTGGAGGCTCCATCTTTTTTCCATTATGGTAACACCTGTGGACACAAAATTGTTGGACAATGTTTTTTAAATAAAATAAATCGTCAAAGAATAGTTTCGTTTTTATTATTTATGGCATTATAACTGTGGCATACTGTAGAGAAGACATTTCTGAGTTCTCTCTCCTTCGAGACTCTATATTGCCGTGTAAAGCCTACAGTGATGAAAAATGAGGCCATGTGGTGTGCAATTACTGCTCGGAGCTCGAAGGGTTAATGAAAGAAATGTCAAAACCAGCTTCAGAAGGCTGTCATCATATAATGTTTTTCTGTCCTGAACATGTGTGATCATTTCCCTGCTGATATTTCAACCAATATGGTGGCTGTGTTGAAGCATCAACATGTATCCTGTTTTCTATCTAGGAAGCCAGTGGGATCTTTGTTCTGATTCTGAAACATTTAAAGGTGTTATTTGCGGTTGGATGGATGGGAAAGTCTCACCGTGCAACGTCTGGCTCAGGCAGAGGGAAGCCCAGCAGCTGGTTCAAGTGGATGGCGTCCCTCAGGCAGACCTGCCACTGGTTGAAGGCATGAGCCACATCCAACTTTAGTTTACTGCGTCGATGTTCAGCCTGCAAACCTGCAACACACAAACAGACACACACCTCATTCACAGGTTGTACTGCATCACTGTGAAATGCCGTCAGCCACCTGGTGGCTGCTGCCCCAAGAAACAAAACACAAACTGTTGAGAAACAATACAGCATTAGCTTCACATCAGAAACCTCACAAACAGTGGCAGCTGGTTAATATAGGGCACAGGGGCGCCGCCCTCCCACTACTAATGTCCAGATAAAAAGTAGTTCTCAAACGTAAAATTAAATTGTAATTAATTATAACAAAATAATAAAAAAAATAATTAGAACGTTTATATTCTTTTGATATTTTAACAATATTTGTATTATTAACAGATTTAATATAAGTCTTTACTGTGTGTTTACTAATTTGACACTTCCTGGATGCGGGACGCGGCCACATGAGTGTGTATGAAGCTTGAAAAACTTTTCGTGATCATGTGACCTTGGCAGCTGCAGACTTTCTCACGGGGCGCAGCTTGGTGCGTCCTGGACCCTCCCACTTTTGTTGTAAGCAAATTAATTTTGTCTTTATTTGCTTTTGTCTTCTGTGGTTGGATATCAAAACTGTCCTTCGACGTTCTTACGACTGTGCTTTCTGACACCGTCACACGGCCTTTCCCCTCCTCTTCTACTAGATGACAGCTACTGTTGAGATGGCTTAATGCATCGGGCTGCTGTCAGTAGAGAAAAGGCTGCTTGTAGAAAAGAGCGCATGTAGAATTCATGTAACTGGGTTTAACCTCGGACAACCCTAGTTTATTATTTTTAAAGTCATTTTTGGTTGCACACCGGTCAGACCACATCACAGCCACCAAACAGCAGCTACCACAGCCTGCTGTGTCACGTTTAGGGAGCATCAGTAAATCGTAGCGTCTATCGTTAAGAAAATGTTCAGCAACTCATGTTTTACCTTTGACCAGGTGGGAGGTGCAACAAAATGAGAAAGTGGTACTGGTACTACCAGTGAAAAAGTTAGTCTGGAGCCCTGAATAGTGTTTTTTTTTTTTTTTTTTCATTATTGATGTTGTGTGTTTTGAGTTTGTACAGATCCTGTAAATATTGGTGAAAGTTTGATGAATGGTTTTGAAATTTACTTCTGGTAATTATTGATAACGTTAAATGATATTATGATTAGAATAACCTCCAAAGGTAGGCAATTTGTATTCCTGTAAATAGTTGTTCCGGATGTTACTCATAATCTAATTTCTGATTTTAAATAAAAGGTCATTTGCGGACTGCGCCCCCCCCCACCAAAACTTTTCACCAGCCGCCACTGCTTACAAATATAAAAACACACTAGAGCTGACAAAGATTCCCTCTAACTGAGTAAATAAACATGCCAGTCTGTACATTTTTGTCTAGATTTTTGATTTGTGAGCAGTGAATGAGTAAATGTTGATACCAGGTGTGATCAAATAGTTCCATGGATGTTTTTGTTGCA